CTCTCGTGAGAGCAGATGATTATTACCTCTAAAGAAAGCTTTACTCATGAATTTAAGATGAAGATAAAACCACAAAGCAAACGATGCTGCAAGACGATTTATTTTTTCAATGTTTATTTTTAGTTTTGAGCTTGCATTTATAATTTCTGCTCATAGTCTCTAAATGTAGAAAATCTTTTGTTAAAACTCCCTAAAATACATATCATTAGAAAGTTCTACTTTTTGTCTTCAGAGCACTATAAGAAGCAAAACAAATTTAAATTTAGTGAGCAACAATAAAGGATCTACACAGCTCCAAAGCTTATTCATTGTATAATGCCCTTTTTAACACAAGGGAGTCCAGATAATAAAGTTTGTGGTGGCAAACAAGAACCAGTGGTTTCCATGGTCAGTGCAGCTGATAAAGCTGATATTACTGCAATATCACTGCGCAGTGTGTCACGTTTCCTCCAGCAGGGCTGACCTACTAAGACAGCAACGCTTACAGCAGAAAGAGCGTGTTGTCTGCAGTCGCATAGGCAGTGGTGTGTAGATTACTTCATCTGAAAAACAGTGTCTTTCATCTAATCATCAGATTTATGCAAAAGCTACAGAGGTAGTTTTCATTATCTCAGTGAAGCAGTCTTAAAATTGCAAAACAGTGGAGGACGATATCTTGATTGACCTTTTAGCAGGAGTCTCTCTGAAGCGTTCGGTGTAGGACGCTGACTGCCACAGTGCAGCTTAAAGTGGAGCATGTCTGGCTTTTTTTTTTCTTTCTTTTTTTTTTGTCAAACTCCAAACGGTGGGAAATATATTCCCTTTACTAGTCACAGGAGGATTTTACACATTAAGGGAACTGATTTCCAAACTTGGCAGTAGAAAAAGGACTAGATAACATTAAATGTAAGAAATAACAAAAACTATCGATGTTATGATATCATATTTTTAAATGTAATAATAAACTTATAAACTGATAGAATCCACATGATGTACCTGCGGATACTGAATTTAGATTTAAAATGAACATTTGGGGTTGTTACCTGAAGATCTTTAGGGAAATCAGAAAGCCAACGAAAAAAAAATCATACATGATTGAAAACAATTCCCAGTTGTATGTGGGCATTCGCTGCAAGCGTGGAGCTGAAGAAACCAATTGAGAGTGAGGAGAAAGCTGTGGATTATCTCATACTAGTGGCACACATGATAGGAAATTTCAAAAAGCAGACACTGAGCTAGTACTCTGTTGTAGCTGTAGCTGAAGGCTGTGTTTAATCTTTGTCTCCTAATTGCAGAGTTTAGGATTTTACCAATAACGTACAGTCATCTCCACTAGAGACAGCGGAGAAGCGTGTTTCTCCTATTTGCACACACTAACAATTTCCCAGCTGTAGATATAGAACGATTTTGCTCACATTAGAGCAATTACTGAGCTTCAGATAAGAGCTAATGAAAATGCACTCTGTGGCTGGTTAAATGACCTTGATGTAAGCTTCAAACATGTTTTCAGTCCGTGACTTCACACCCATGGACCTGAAGAAGGTCTTTTCTTTGATCACTGCAGTAGCTGTGTATTTTTTATATGATTCTTTTGCTCTCCACACATTGTATTGCACACTTTCTTGCCAGGGGAAAGGGTGAGCCGTGAGACCATTTCTGTGGAGCTGAAATGCAGTCATTGGTACCTGTGCAGGTCATTTCACTGGAAGAGAACTGACCGCATAAAAGTGATTTCATGGTATATTTCATTTTAAAACATCCAAAGATGTCCAATAGATGTTCTTTTCCTTCACCCTAACCAACCTGGTCTCACATGGAGATATCTGAATATGCATTCACAGTATGATCTCATATGCAATAACAGTTATGTGTACTGAGCAGCAACTTATTCCTGGTATCTAGAGATGTGCTCAAAATGTCCCGGTTAGATAATCACTGCACTGAAAGTACTTTGATACTCTGTAATCTCCAGTTAGAACAACAATAAAGATAGCAGCGCTCTGCTGCCATTTAATTAGCCGTATTCATGGATATGTTGATTTTAAAGCAACTAATATACTTAAGAAGCAAGTCTTTGAAAAACTAAAGTATAGCGGCCATAATGGATTTGTACGCTGGCTTCACTGTGAGTGTTATTTTCTTAAGTAAGAAAGAGTCTAACACAGCAGAATATGCTAATACACCACCATTTCCATTAGTCCCACCAGAATGTATTTAAATAACCTCTTTTGGCCTTATACAACAGCGGCTTTTTGAAACATTTGAATTGTATTTTAGGTCTGGAAATCCAATCTAGCCTGTAAAACAAGTGTCTCCACCAAGCCTGGGAATCAGACACCTCGGAGAATTTGATTTATTCACATTATGCATGCCTGACAAACAAAAGATAAGAAAGATTTGCGTCCTTTCTGCCGTGCCACAGTTTCACTTTCATTCTTCCCGTAAAGTCCCTCTTCACTCTGACTTTTGAACAGCTTAGTAAAGGTAACAAAAAATACATAAATTCAGAACCCAAAGAAAATATCTGGCATCTGTCTGCTTCGAGCCATCTGATGAAGGCAACAATGTCATATAAAATTATGTGAAGAGAAAGGAAAATGGCTTTGAATTATTTGAGCTACCAGGCTGTGTTCCCTCAAAGGTGTAACGATGCTTTGAAGGTGACATGGCAATGGGAGGATTGAGCTGATGGCGTTCATTCTTAAAAGAATGCAGACTATTGATTGTGCTTATTCTGCTTTTAGACGGATGTAATACTAAGTAGCTCTGCCACTGAAACAATCCCTTCCCCTGTGATAACAATGAGATAATCTCTGCCAATGTGCATGTTCCCCTTGTGTAATTGCTGGAAGAACACATTATGTAATATCTTTTGCTTCATTGGGCGTGCTAGCATGAAACAGATGCTGTTAATTATGACAGCAAAGATAAGGAACGGATAACGTTGTTTTGCATTAGGAAAGCAAAAAAAAAAAAAGAGTCATTGATCAGCTTTCTAAAGAGCTGTAACTTGAGGAGCAAGTGTCTATTTGATAGACACACAAAAAAAAATACTTCATTTAGAAGGATGCATGTTTTTTTTCCTCATGTCGATCCACCTTGATTGATCCATCCCTTCATAGTAGCTTCAGCTGAACTCTTTGTTCTTGTAAACAGTTTGCTGAAAAAAAAACCACATTAAGGTTATTATCAGTGTTTGTTTGCTGCCGGCGACTGAAAGAAACTGTCCAGAATCTGCAGACAATTGCATTCTCTTTCTTGATTCTTTGACAACAAGCTTCACTGAAAAGTCTTTGCAGCTGTTTGCTGAAATTTTATTTTTCTCAAACCACTGAAAAACTGCAATTCTTGAGCCACTTTTTAAAAAAGAGTAGCTTGGACACATCTGCTGTTATAGACCAAAATAACCTTTGTAGATAGCAATTATATTTAATCTCAGTTTGGTTTTTGGTTTTTTAACTATTCCACTTAAAGTTTGGTTTGGGGTGGGGGGTTGGTTATAATGGAAAAAAACCAAGCACGGTGGTGGAGGGGTGATGATTTGGGCTTGTTTTAAAGCCACGGGATCTGGGCACCTTCCAGTCAATGAATCAACTGCAAACTCCTCTGTGTACCAAAATATTCTAGACTCAAATGTGAAGCCATCTGTCTCAGATAAATCTTGGCAAGCACAGCAGCAAATTTTTGCTAAGCAAAGTATTGCTATGGCCCAGCCGAAGTCCAGACCCTAACCTAACTGAAACACTACACTTAAGATAGTTGTGCATAAACAGGTGCCCATAAAATCCGCCACAGTGATTTGAGAGACTGATAAAGTCATAAAAAATGTTATTGCTGCTACAAGTAGATCTACAAGCTACTGAATCATTGGATCATGTGTTTATTTTTCATGAGACTGTATCTTCTGGAAACTTGTTTCTGTAACTTTGGATCTAGTGGACCAACAGGAATTTGGGGGTTCCCTGCAGCTCACTCATTGTTCTCTTCAATTTGCACATTGAGCCTTTCACTGGGCTTCATTATGTGAAATATTACCAAGACTATCATTAGAAACTCTTGGACTGTCTTAAAATCATTTTAGATGTGCCAGAACTGTCTCCAGCTAAACGACAGCTAACTGAAAGATAGTTCTCATCTCGGTTTCTGGCTTTGATGACCAAAGACCAAGCCCGAAATCTCAGTGTAATCCTGACTTTTATTGACTTTTACCTTTTAATTAAATTAGTTTAAGTCTTCATTCAGCCTTAAAGCCATAAGAAGAATCAGGAAGAAGTCCCATAGAAGGGGAGCATTTTTTCTTTTCCTTGGATTTCCATCCAGAAACCTCCCAGACAGCTTCAGCTCTGCTTCAAATCAGATCTCTGCGCTGTCTTTCAGTGTCAGTGAATAGAGTTTGAAGTACAGCTGCCCTTTTTATTAATCCCTCAGTGGCTTAGAAGCACATGCTGACTTTCTTTTACTAACTCTCTCTAATTTTCAAATAATCAAATAGACAGTTTCTAACCCTTGAATTCAGATGAAACCCTTTCATGTGTGTTTCCACTGCCTTGTGGATTCCTTAGTGATGAGCAGAGAGAGGAGTATTGAACTTTTGTTGGGCTTAGTCCAAACTGGTGCAAATTAAATGTCAGTCTTTCCACTTTCTGTGTTTGAAAGCAATAAATTGGGCTTTAAATTTAGCTTGTCCAATTTAAAAAATAAAAAAAGAATTTGACAGCATACACCAACTGCTGATTTATGACATCAAAGGTCACACTTATTTACAATTAAGTAATCTCCCTTCTTCTTGTCCTAATTGGCTGTCTCTGCTGTCTGACTAAAAGGGGATTGGACAGTGTTCAGCTGGGTTGGGGAATGCTGTTGTGTGATATGGCATTTCAACTTTGTCCCTGAAGGCTGACTCAGACGTTTCTCCTTCACGCTAAAGGCACAAGGAACGTACCAATCTGGCCGTGTGCTGCATTTGTATGCCTGAAGGAGACTTTCACTGAAATTCCACCAGCTGCTTTAATGTCAGAATTATGACACTGACTACAGACAAGGTAAGATCACTGGGTGCAGTTGATGCTTTTTGTGTAAGAGAGTGATTCAGCATGAGTGCGTGTCAAGAAAGCGTCGCTTTAAAAAAGCCGAACGTGAATGCAAGTTTGTCAGAGACAAAGTGAAGTGTGAGATTGAGTTTTTGACACCCAGGTGAAATTGGGTAATACTGTGGAAAAACATTTTATCTTTTGAAAAACTGAGAAACACTTCAATTTCAGAACCATCACTGTTTGTTTCAGGTGTACGATGGGATGGACATCATTGACCTTCTGCTCAAAAACACAGGTGAATCCACCAGTTGCCACAGCAACCAAACGTGGACCAGCTCAACTAATGATGTAAGTGTGCTGCTCATTATGCACAGTTTGCTCCTAAACCGAATCACTCAGGGGAAAACATAATCATGGCCACAAATTCACCTCATCATGAGAACCTGACTGCTGAGTTTAAACTGTATTCTGGGGTGTGCCTGATTGTATAGCGGCAAGTGTTGCAAATAGCAGGAACCAAAGGAAACAGAGAGAGAGAGCAAATTGAAAGCCTGGTGTGTTTATGCTTCTGTGTCTGCTTGTTTGTGTGATTACTATTATCTATGATCTAGATTAATTCTGCCAATCAAGCCATAATGTAATTATGTATGCATACTCTCTTCAGACACTGAGCACTAAACGAAGCAATCCTGATGATTTCTTGGAGTTCCTGCTGCATGGGAGCGACTCATCCTCTGTGCCAGCATCACCCCTGTGGTCTCCCTGCACCAGTGACAGTGGCATCAACGAGGACCCCCTGACAGATCCCACAAACAGCCCTCACACAGCCTCCTGCACAGCCTTCACTCCCTGTGACATTCAGGCTTTCACGCAGTCTTCATGTCTCGTGAATCAGACAGTGGCAAATGAAAAAAAGCCAGATGTCGTCATCGATCTCGGTAAGACAACATTTAAATAGCAAAGGGTTAACCGGCTTGCTTTTTTATACAGGCCAGAAACATGTACTGAACTTCAACCTGTAAAGCAGTAGTTTGTTTTAACAATGAGCGCAAATGTGAGGTTGAGACGCGTAAAGAACAAAGTAACCAGGGCACAGGACTACCAGATGAAAAGGGGGAAGCTTTTGACATTGTGAGATCTCTCATTTTGTGCTTTCTGTAGTGGGATAATGGGGGCTTTTGACTGCGCCTCTGATGGCGGACCTTTCAAAGAGCCACTTGTTTGGTTTTTCCCATTTTTGAACATCTTTAAAGATAAACGGTTGTGATTGTTGCCATTCATGAACTGTTTTGTGAGGGCAGCTATTTTGAATGTTGGTTCATTTCACCGTGCAGGTTTTTGACCCACCACTAGTGCCTGACATATCTGAAAATGACCGAGTAAACCTAGACACATACATTTCATTTAAAAAAAACCCACATACATCACCTTCTAATTCCAACAAAAGGTTTTACAACACAAGCAAATACATCCACAAGGTCATACATATGAGGAAAGGAAAGTAATCTTTTCGGGCTGTAATTTCTTTAACTCTTTACATACCTGCTTAATTACTCATCGGCATCACAATTACGGTGGAAAGCTGTTTTATTTGTCTGTACTGGACTTCATCAGTGAATGAGTGAATAAATTCATCATTTACTTGGATTTATACAGTATATATTGTCTGTTAGGTTAAAGGTCAGTGTTCTTTTAATTCATTACAGGGAACAATTGTTGTAACACTGGTCTTATGCTTGTAAGACCATATTACAAAGTCACTTTCAGCAGCTGCTCGAAGCTTTGTAACAGCTATTACCGTGAAGGTTAAATCCATTGTGCATTTGAAAGGTAGCGACAACTACACAAACCGCCATAAACTGCATCCTTTAACTCGCCACAGAACCAGTGTGGGTGTAATTCAAATGTATGAATTTATATCCACGAGGGAAGCATTACTGATTTAAATGCTCCTGCCAGAAAAGATCAGCAGATTAGACCAGAGGGTTCCTAATGATTCGAAATGGCTGTGGAGTGTTGACATATCAATATTAATGCAACCCACACAATTTAACATTAGTGTTTCCCAGTGTTTCCAGTTTTCCACATTTGCTTTGACACATTTCTTGAAACCTTTCACACACATTATTTCTTTTTCTAAGCTGTTAACACAAAACCTAGACACAATGCTCAAAGTCAAACTACTTTTCATAAAACCTCTGACTCTTGTAAACAATCGTATCGAAATAGTTTCGACTGTGCTTTCAGGTCACACTCAAATCCCGCAACAATAAGAGCACTAACGAGCCTTCATTGAGCAATACATCAAAAAAATGGAAAACACAACATCATGGTGTGGACTTTAAAAATAGTTTGAATAATCAGAATAAAATAGAACAGAAAATCAAAATGCAAAAAAATGAACAGAGTACAAGAAAACGGATCATTACAAAAATAACTACTGTTAATAAGAATCTTAATGGAAAACAGGCACAGTTAGTGATTTTCTGAGGTTATTTAATAGAAAAAACTGTACTGTGCTGATGCTGTACTCATAGTATCTACCTAATAATACACAGGAGCAAGTCTGCAGTTTATAATCCTACGATTTATGTGTGATCTATCTATGTATCAAAGGTGGAGAGGC